TTGTCTTGGGAAAAAATATTTGAGAGTCTAGTGGTGTAGAGCTTTGGGTGACTTGTACTTCACCCTACCAGGAATTTAAAAGGTGAATTGATTGAGAACAAGTGCCTCCTTCTTAAGCCATGGCATCCCAAAAGAATCTTTTTCACACGAATGCACACATGGGTCACTTGATCACCCAAGAGGACTACCCTCACTGAAAAAGTGCAACAGAAGAGAGAGAAGAGGCAGACTTAATTCTTCCTCTCGTGGGTACCACAAAGCTGAAGATTCTAAGTCAGGAAGATTCTAAGCCAACACATGATTTTAAGGTGAATTTTAGTTTTCACTCAGTTGGTAACAGCTTGTGTCCCTTTTCTTAATTGTTCCTTTTATGGACTGGCCTTTGTACCAAAAGGTCATCCCACTTATTCCCAAAACATCCTTTGGGTTAGGTGGAGGTTGTAGTTTATCATTGTTATTCATAGTTCTAAGTAACTCCCTGAATTAAAGTCTAGTTAACAGGTGATTGAATGGGGATTTGAACCAAATAAGTGGATAATAATCTTTCCTTGATCTTACAGTGGAGCTAAACACATTTTCAGGTTGGTTGTTTTTTTTTTTTTTGGGTGAATGACAGGACCCTTCTATCTCAGCCTTCCAGCTGGGACTTTAGGCACACACCACCACACTAGGCTTTTTTTTTTTTTTTAATTTATTCATTTCCTACATTAATTCACTATACACCATCACAACACACAAATGAATTTTCCATCCAAAATACACTGTGCATTGGCTCAATCAAGCACATCAACATACATGTTCTCAGCAAATAATTTTCCAATTCTTATGTCCTGCATACCTTGCCTTTTGTTTTGCCATCCTTGATTCCCCACCCCCCACCCTCTGCTATGTCCCATCCTCCTCCTACATTGTCCCTGGCATCCACGGTTGCCCTCCATACCTTCCCCCCCATTCAATTGTTCTGCCAAATGAACTTAATTAGTCTAAATATATCCAATAGCTAGCACAGCTGACACATACCTATACATGAACCCAAGTCTGACTTTAGGCATAAACCCCAGTGAGTAGAATGAACATACTATAAAGTAGTACCCAGCTGGGCCCATACAGCTCGCTGCAGTCGTCAAATATGCAATTTTTTTAAAATGATACAAACAGTTTTACCGTTTTT